TCACATGTATGATAACAATGGGTTTACGCTATGTGTATAATTTTTGATATCCAGGATAACCTTCTGGATACATTTGGAAATTATGTAGGCATTCGAGGCTTTTTATGCCAAAAAGCCCATTTTCCTACTACTTAAGCTTACTTAATACTTTAGAATTATTTATTTCTTTTAAAACTAAATTAAGTATTTTATAATATTTTCAGTTGCTTGATCATAATACGTTTAAAAATATGTGTTGAAAAATACAATTAGAATTAGATCAGAGTAAGTTAATATTCAATTAATATTATATTCTTATATAGATATATTATTATGTTAAGATTTTCTTATTTACATTTTGCTAATTAATAAAAAAAGTTTAATATCTTATTAAAAAACGTAATAAAGTAATATTAAAATAAGTTATTTTTCAAATAAAGTTAGTTACCACTGCATAGTGATTTGCCATTACTGACTTTTAACAGTTTTTCTCAGTTGCAGATACCTTATCTGCTAAATAACTCTAATAACTTCTATGTAATAAAGTTAAATAGCTACCATTGTACAGTAACTTGTTATTGCTAACTTTTAACAGTTTTCTTTAATTACAGACGTTTTTTTGGCTTAACAAAAACTATTCTTATTAAGAGAAGGAAATTAATTACTAAATATATCTGATTAAGTAAGCTACTATTGCTCAAAATGCAGATTAAAAGAAAATCAATTATCATATAATTATAATTATGATTATATGATAAATCATAAAAAATTATAAACGTATTATATAATATAATAGATATTTAATTTACTAGAAAGTAATAAATTAAATGAGAAACCTACAAATTTTAAAAATTTTTAAAAATTTTAGTTATTAAGCTAATTTTGTTTATATGACTATAATCAGCAAAGTAAACTAATAAAAATTTTTAACTAAAAAGTAGAATTTCTCTTTTCTACTGATTGTTTTTCAAATGTTAATCTTTTTTATATTATATAACGTTTAATTTCAATTGTTTAGTAATAAAAAAAGATATGATATTACCATTCTATATAATCACACTTCTATAAATATTACAAAGTATTAAATAACTTCTTTATAATTTATATACTATCAATGCATAATCTTTAATATATATATATAATCAACTTTTATTATAACAAATTCTATGTCCTAGATCTTAACTTTGCTATAAGGTTATAGTGTAAAGATTTTAAGAGATTTGATTGGCCAATTTACTATAATAAGAGTATTTTTATTATATTTGTTTAAAAAATTCATTATATTAAGAGTTCGTTATATCAAGAGTTATCTGTATATATATATATTTGATTTAGTAATTACTTAATAAGAAAAAATGGTAATTGTTTAATGATTTATGTTTTTGATTCTTATAATAGTCATTTGAAAAAACTGTTAGAAAAATTAAATTTGAAAATTTTTTTTATTAAAATTAAGATTTTTATTGCATTTTAATCTAATAATATCAAAAATCTCAATTATATAAAAAAAATTCTAGAACTTGAATTTTCTAACAAACTTTTCTATTTTACAAAATTACAGAAAAGATTATCACAAATAATGTGAATTAATATGGATTTGCATTTTGGTATCATAAAGAAAAAGAAATGAATGGAAATTAAATGATAGTATATAACTTGCTTTAATATATGAGCGATTTTAAAATATGAAAAGATTGCTAGAAAAATCAGGGTCTGTGAATGTTTTATTTTTATTGCATTTTAGTTTTTGATGTTATTAGATTAAAAATGTAATAAAGTCTTAATTTGAGCAACAATTTCTCAAAACCTAATTTTTCTAGCAAACTCCCATATGTTATGTGATAGAATAAATCATCTAACTCATGACTTGCGGATCAAAGGTACTGTATTTCACAATGACGTGTGACAATCACTTTTATGAATTATGCGATTTAAAAGTCAAACTTCTACTTAAACATCACTATATCAAGCAAAAGGTTTAATCTGACAGTAGTTAATTATGTTAATAAACATTGGCACTGAACTTTCAATTGAAGAATTTCTCAGATTATTCACCAGTAAACTTTATGGGCTACTTCTGCCCATTTTTAATATTGCCAGGTACTGAAAAAATTGAGTTGATGTACAAAAGAAAATTTAGAGATGAAGTAGATGTTTTGAAAGCCATGATTAAAGGGGAAATTGATAATTTATCTTCGAACCTTCGAATCAATGCGACCTGATGGAATTTACATAAGGAGTTTTTTTTTTCAATTCAAATTAGTTGTAAGATCTTGAATCAACGGATTTCACAAAATTATATTGGAGAAAAGATGTCAAGTGCCGCGCATGCAAGAAAAACTGTATGATTTGCTTAAATCTTTTAATAACATTGGCATTGCATTTTACTAGGTATATCAAATTCTAGCATCGAGGAATGTAGAATGATACAAAATTTTTAGTAAAGAGCCTAAACCTTTTTGAGATTCTGTACTGTACACAAAATCATTGCTTATATTCTAAAGGTGTACATTTAACTAGATAGGATCAAAGCTAGGGGATAATAAAAACGGCGATTTCGTTATAGAGAGGTTGGATATAATTCTTTAATTTTTATTTAAGATGATTAAATTCTTTCTTGATTCGTATTACAATATAACTAGGAAATGGAAACCATTTTAAGCCCGGAGCGAAATTTTTTATTTAAAATAAATAAATTATTTTTGTTTTTTTTTTATTTACTGATTTTATCGTACACGCGGCGTGACAAACGGAAATACTCACGTGATTATAAAATTTTCACACTATTTCCTAAAAGTATAATGTCCTACGCTTCGCTCCGGACAATAAATTTAAAAAGATGAAACTTTAATACTAGAACATCAAATTGCAGAGATCTGCTAGACATATTTATGCACGGGTATAATTCGTGCAGATTTGATTATTAGTTAAAGTTATTTTGACATCTCAGAACGACCTAGTGCTCAGAATTGTAAAAAATAATTATTAGTATGGTTAGCATTTAAAACGTTTCTTTTTATAGAGATCGGAATCTATGTTGCCGGTTATTTCTATAAATATCATCTGCCGTGTCACGCGACTTAATATGTGCTCAAATCGTCTATCCAATATCTTATCCTCACCCGATTCAAATATTTGGGTAATTCATGATGTGACAACGAACGAGACCAATACCAATGCTAATTACGATATTTTACTTTGTACGCGCATTATATGTAACCAAAACAAACAAAAAAACCATTTTATAAGGGTTTCTCACGAAGTGTAAAACTTTATTACTATAAATAATCAATTTGTATTAGATCAGGTTAGATCAGGTTAATAATGTTACACACCATTTCCGAATGATCCTTGTAATTTAAATTTACTAACAACCTCCTCTTTTTTTTTTTTTTTATATTGTTGAGCTTTTCGGCTTTTTAGCTTCTTATGACTTTATAAAGAAACTATAGAGAGTTGGGGGTTTTTCTTTCTGTGGGATATTTCCTTTATGTGAAAAGATAAATTTGATTTAACGTTTACTCTTTTTGTTTTTATATTATAGAGAGAGAGAGATATATATATATAAAAAAAAAAAAAAAAAAAAGAGCAAAACTCTCTCTTTGGGTTGTAATATTTCTTATTAGGCGATAGAAATGTATACCCTTGTTTAATAGCTTACCTTTTATACATACACACATATATATAAAAAAAAGAGTGTGATAGTAAACTCCTTGATTCTATGACCATAGTAATTTTATTTTATCATTAATTGTATAATTGTATTTAATCCTGTTTAATCCTCACCTAAACACGAAATTAAAAATATACATCATATTTTAATTAAATTCAATTAGGTAGGTATATTTGAACAATGGTTCGACATTATAAAAACAGTTTAATTTATTCAAACAAGTCAATAGTATGGCAAATATGGATGTTAATTGGCATTATAATAATATATGGATTAGTAAATGTTAATGCTGAGCGTAAGTACCGTTTTTTTTTTTCTTTTACCTCGTGAAGTATGTGCGAATAAGAAGTGAGGTTAGACTACGCGACCCTGCTAAGCCACCTTTTAGGTCGATGACGTAATTCAACTCTCATACTGTATGTCTATATATACACATATATATTTATTTTTTTTACTTCTAGAAAAGTGTTGCTATAGCACAAAATCGGCGTTACAAACCGGCCCAAATCTTTATCAACTAAATGTAACGGCATCACACGTAGATTCAAGAAAGGGTAACAACGTATATGTGACAGCAATATCATTTCCAAAAGGATATCTCATAACGGCACCACCATTTTCACCATTTAGTAAAGTAGTTTGTACACAGGCGCAGCCATCGGGAACGGGAACGAGAACGGAAGAACTGACGCAATATGAATGTGATTCAAGAGATCGAGCAACCTTTTTCGTTGTATTCGATTTATCAATACAACCCGTACCACAAACAAATTCAACCATAGCACCAGCATCTGTATTTATATTCGGTGACAAATGTCAAAATGTAGCGTTTTGTACCGATTTAGCGGAAAAGAAAGAGTCTGAAAATTCTGACAAGATTTCGCTCGGTCCCCTTGGTACATGGCCAAAGTATGCCATTGTGATTGGTGGGGTGGTATTGGGCATATCATTGTTGGCCGCTTGTTATCTAGTTTATAAGAGAAATAGACCTGGTGATAGGTATAGAGATACAACAATTACCCCCAGTCCTAATCATTACGATGATAAGGATCAAAATCGTGCCTTATTCGTTCCCAATTCATTATTAAGATCTGATGAAGGTGATACACCACCACCTTCCATTGAACCTCCAAAGAATACTTTAATTAAATTTGGTAGCGTGACTGCTCATTCTCCTGAAAGGTCAAATGGTGCTCGGATTATGCATTTGCCTAATCAACAATCTTCCTCCTTAACGAAATCTTCTACTACTAAAATGAAAAAAGATAAGAGGGATAAGAAGGATAAAAATCATCAGGAGATTCATATTTATGATAATGCAAAATCGGATGATGGAATTAATGGTGATGATAAATTCGCCTTACCTATGCCCGTATCAACCGTTATTATTGATATGCCTTCTCATATTGCTCATAGCGGACGTCGTAGTTTGGATAAGTCATCTTCAATTTACCATAAAACTCGGAAAAGTGGCGATAATAATACCCTTTCAACGCATAGAATATCTGATTATTCGACCTCTGATATGTCAAAAACAATTTCAAATAATGATGAATCGGAAGATGAAACAAGTGATGACAACAAGAATTTTTATTCATCGAAACGTTCAAGTTCAACTTCAGTTAATCATAAAAAATCGAGATCAAAACCACGTAATGGTGAGCATGATTCACGGAGAGAAAGAAAATTATCTAATAATCATAATAGCGCATCACACAGAAGGGGTGGTGAAGAAGATCGCGAAGGTCGCAGAATTGATCGTGGTCCATCAAAAAGACATCGTTCACGTTCTTCTCCTCCTCCTCCTGCATCGAAAACGACCGATTTACATAGAGGTTCATCCACTAGAGCGAGACAAACCGATCGTGAACGAGATCGTGGGGATCATCGTGAAGAAAAGCATTCAAATAATGATTCAATAAGTAAAAACAAGGGATCCTCCGTGGGCGTTCATCGCTCAAAGACTACACCATCAAACCAAACACACCAAAGTGACAGGGGCGCGGGAAAGAGGAATAAAAATTCAACACCACTTGCTAATTTAAATAGAAGTAGCAGTAGCAGGCATAAACCAATTGACTTGATTTCCCATGCAGATACGGAATCAACCACTTCCTCCTCGGATGTTCCATTGGGTGATAGGTTACCCTTGGCCATGTTGGCAAAGTTACCACCATCAGGCCAATCAAATTCTTGGAAACCTACCGAACTTAATGTCATTAATTATGAGGACGACGATACAACTCCTTTAGGTCGAATTAGCTCCAGTAAAACCGATTCGTTTTGTGCGGCATCAACTTCTTCGCACACTCGTCTGTTATCTACTGATAAATCATTATCGGAAAAGGTTGAATATGGTATGGATGATAAATATGAGTCGGTGTTGGATGAAGTACTTGGCATAGCTGACTATTTAAATTCCGAAAAAGGAAGTAGCTATAAAGGTTCCGAAGATAATTACCCTATTGGTAAAACGTTCTTACAACGAAAAGAAAAGTGAGATGGCTAGTGATGAAGAAGTACCCATTGGTCAATTAAGGAGTCGATAAAGGAATGAATAAAGAAAGTTATTTATTAATTTATTTGGATTTCTTAATAATTATTAGCATTGATTGTATATTTGAAGGAAACATTTCTTTGTATTTTAGTAATTGCCTTTTTAATTAAAAATTTTACGTCTGTTTTCAAATATTTATTGTACATTTCTAGTTTTTGATTTATTAGAATTTGCAAAAAAAAAAAAAAAAAAAAAAAAAAAAAAGGGAAAATTTTATTTATTTCATTCATTTCTTAAAAAAAAAAAAATATTTTTTTCTTCTATTTAAATTTTAATTCTTACAGAAATTTGTAAAACCAAAACTAAATTATTCAAAAAAAAAATGATATCAAAAATTCTTTCCTCAAAAATATAAAAATTTTAATCGATCCATTCTAGTAGTTTTTTGTGGCGTAGTAAATACTTCAACAACACTAATGTCGTTCGGGCCAGAACTGTTGGACATATCTGACATCATACGTATATGTCCAAATCCAACACTACCCATACTTATACCGTATATAACTTCGGATGTCTGAAATTTCAGATACAGACATTGAAATTATGGCATCATCTGAAAAATTTTAATTAAAAAAATGAAGCAATAAATTATATTTGAAATCATTTATAGTGGTGGGCAAAGTTATTTTATTAGGACCGACTATAAAAATAAATTAATTTTCTTTAATTTCACAGTTAAAAAATTGATAATTGAAGAGTAGTTCATATTCTAACGAAGTCTATCCTTTAAAGTAATAATAATTAAGAAGTCTATTTATAGATAGTAACATATGCACTAGTGCTAGTACAAGTGACTCTATCAACTGGGCCCCAACTTCTAAACATAAATTCAGTAGGTAATTTTGATTCAAATTGCTTAGGGACTTCAACTTTTACTTTTAACGAAGCCTTCCCATCAGCACCGAATGTTTTATTACCTCTCCATAATTTTTTAACAAATTTTCCAGTACCAAAAGTAACCAAGTCAAGGCCTTTTACTTCACTCATAAACGTGCTTCCTTTTGTCAAAACTACTTCAAACTCGTGATTATTCTTAAATTGTGTAAGATGAACAGAATCAGGAGAAATGAATTGAAATCCTGAGAACGGGAAAGATGGAAAAGATTTTATTAAAAAGATTTTTTTTTTTTTTTTTTTTAAAAAAAAAAATAAAAAAGCTAAGAAATCTTACCAGAACAATTAACTGGGAGCCCTAACCCTGCATAAATAAGAAAATTGGGTCGAAAAGATCAATTTTAAAAAGAAAATAAAATGATTAAAAAATATCGATTTAAAATGAAAGATACCTTTTTCAAAAGGTACAGCTGTTACTTCATTGAACAATGTGAATAAAGAGAACAATAAATGAATTGAAATAAATGAATTGAATTTTGATGACGTATTCATTTTGTAATTTGTTTTTTTTTTAACGGGTGCAAAGTTTTTATATTTATTAAAGTTGTTTTTTATTGTTTTTTATTTTTATCTTTTTTTTTGTTAGAAGGTTAAAGGTGGAAAGTTCTTATATTTATAAAGTTTTCTTTTCTAATGAATAGAGCAACAAACATAAAGGAAAACTATTAGAAATCATTATATAAACCATTTGCGAGTATAAAATCATCTTAGTACATGCCCATTTTGCAATTTTGCAATACATATGAATAAGAACTTTTTTGGAAGATTTTATTTTCTTTTGCATATTGTTTTGATTGTAATACGATCAGAATTCTCTTAATGTAAATTCTTTAACGTTAAGAAACGAAACGATCTTGGTATGATTCTAATAATTTGTAATACAACCGATATTGTTATGATACGACCAAAATTATCTAATGAAATTCTGATTCTAATAGTTTGTAATACAACCAAAATGATTCGATATTGTTATGATTCTAATAATTCGTAATACGACCGGATTTATCTAAAAGTAAAATTCTTTAAAGAACGATCCTCACAATCTTCAATTAATCAATCAATGATGACCTCTCCACCAGCCCAAGCCAAGAAGATTAATGCCGAACTAAAATATAAAGAAGCCGCAATATCCCAAATAATATTCCAATTTCTTCCTGTTACGTCCAGAATCCAACCAGTTAATGCCACGCCAAAAATACCAGGGATCACACCTAAAGTATTGCCAAGACCGTAGATGATACCTGCATATTTAGGGGCAATATCAAACTGAAAAAAGGAAAAAAAAGTAAGAAAAAAATTTTTTTTTCTTTTTTTTTTTGGAATGTAGAAAGAATCACCTGATTTACGGATACTCCCGCTAACGTGAACGTGTTTAGTCCCATGCCGATCGTAATTAAGATTATCCCCTCAAATGGAGATGACGCGCAATACGCAGCCTAAGAATAATTTGATTGTTGGGTTAAAAAAAGGAAATCCATTTTAACTCATTTTAAAGATATAATTACCAATAAAAGGAAAGTAGCGACTCCAAAACTTCCAATTGATTGAGCGATCCTCCTAATGGTTATGACTCGAAATTTAACTTTATGAATCATGTGATCACCAATCGTGCCGACAACAAAACCCATGACACCCTGCACAGCATAAGGTATGACAGCAAAGTATCCCAATTTCTTGATGTCAATGCCAAAGTGATCTATATAATACGTTGGCAACCATGTCAACATGATGAAATATCCCCACGAATTACAAAAATACGTTATCAATAATGCCCAGACTTCTTTCTTTGAAAGTATCAACATCCATGGTATATCATTTGTTAATTTAGAATCATTCTTCTTATTATCAACCAATAGAGGAGTTGATTCATCCTCTGCGTTACTGTGTTGATCCCTAACGTCTTCCTGTTGTGATACACCATCTTCGGCATTCGCTACATGATTTTCTTCGTCCTCAAACTTGCCGATTCCTTCTATTAACTTTATTTCTTCTTGACTGATTCCTTCATATTGATCCGGTAAACTTGATCCATAAATTTGCCATAATAAGCTCCAGAACACACCGATCGTTCCAAACAAGTAAAAGATGCACTCCCATCCATAAACTCCGCTGCCCAGCCATGTGGCTAACGGCAGTCCAACGACGGCTCCGATAAGACTTGATCCTGTTACGACGGCGACGGCTCTTGACCTTTCTTGTGCCGGGATCCACTTTGCTATTAAGGATTGCACTCCCGGAAATAACGCCCCTTCTCCTATACCAACGCATATTCTACATATTATTAAAGGATTCAATCCAAATTCGGATGCTTTCGGTGTTAATAATGTGAAAAGAACCCGAGTTGCTGCGGCTAATTAATATATATAAACAAGGGTGGGATTAGTGAAACAGCAGGGATGGACGTCGTGAATAATTGACAATTTTTTTTTTATGTTAGTGACCTATTGCTAGAACCGGCTTTCCTCCAAATTTATCGGCTAGCGCTCCTCCTAATATTTGGGTAGTTAAGTATCCTACGAAAAATGCTGATAACACTAATCCTTGTGTCGTTGATGACCATCCAAAATCCATTGCCATATAAACTATCGCAACTGCGATGTTCGATCGATCTATTGATTAACCAACCATAAAAATTAAATTTAAAAATAATAATGATATGTTTCGTTCCATGGTCAAGAAAAAGTTCATTTTATAATACCTGCATAACAGATTGCAAAAGCCACTGCGCATAGCCCTACAACTATAAATCGTTTTGGAATAAGGTACGTTGGCTGATCTCGACTCATTTTATTTATTTCGGAAGCCATTTTTTTTTTTTTTGTTTGTTTTATTTTATTTTATTTTATTTTTTTATTTTTTTTAAAAAGAAGGATTTCGTTCATATTTATATTAAAGAAAATAACTTTTATTTTTTATTTTATTTAATTTTTTGAAACCTTGATTAACGTTTCTGGTTTTTCCGCCGCCGCCAAAGGATAATAAACTCCTTCTTTATGAATATTCATTGAATATTCATCAAAAAAAAAAAAAAAAGTCGTTTGATTAATATGCATATTTCCTAGATTAAGATTCGAAAAATGGGTATTATTTTTTTTTGATTTATTTTACATTATTTTTTTTTTTTTTTTTGTTTAAAAGGAAATCTTAATCTCTATTTTCCGTTCAAAATATCAATGTAAGATTTGCATATTTATTTCTGAAAAGATTTAGATTTTAATCATTCTTGTTTTTCTTGTTTCTTTAAATGTTACAATTACCAGTAAAATGATTGGTCAAAAAAATTTTTTTTTTTTTTTTTTCAAATTATTTACCGTTTATCAGATACGCAACATACGCATGGGCCGCATCAAATTCTCAAAAAATGCATCATCATCGTCCAATTCAATTCTCGAGAATTGTCAAGAGATTAGTTAATTGAGTTAATTGGTTTCTAAGGTTTTTTCCCACGTTCAATTGTAATCAGATCTTGATCTTATAATCTCTTGTGACATTTAACGGTAATTACCGAACGAAAAAGAATTTTCGAAAATTCTTTTTATTTGTTTGAACAAATAAATCAAATAAATAAATGTATGAAATGAATGAAAAATAATTCTCTATTTTTTTTTTTATTTCTGCTTATCACGATTAGTTAATTTCATGGCGAAGAAGGCGGCGACGGCCCATGACACAGAAATTATTACGATATTTCTCATACAGATTGGATAATCCGAAAAGCTATAGGTATAACTTAATGGTGACGTATGAATTTCATACCACCTAAAAAAAGAGGATCTTGTTAGGTCAATATTTCTCACCAAAAAATCTAATCAGGGTTATGAGAATAAATCTTGGTACCATCTTGGATAAAGTTCTTTAAGGTAAAGAGCTTCAACTGCCCATCTTGGAGTAGAAATGTCCCAGAGCCATCGAATATACTCGTATGATTCCCCGTTTTTGACCTCGTCTAATTTTGGGTTTGCTCCAGAAAAAACCAATCCCCAAGCTAAAGCGAATCCGGTTCCTATCAATCCGAGTTTTTCTAAAAATACGCACGCCAGATTTGTTAATGTTAAAAAAAATAGAACCGGTTTCATTTCCATTATGAAAAACTCATTCTTTACCTTTGGTAACTAATGCTGATAGGAAATAACCTAAAGGGGGAAACTTGATAAATATCGCGTTTAGATAAAATCAATTAAAATTGTTTACATACCCATTGACCACGCAGTCCAATAGGATAATAAGACGATAGAATATAATTCCGTGAATTTAGACAAAAAGGGGTAGAATAAAACAAATGCGATTGAGAACATAAATGCTGCCAAAACTATCCTAGGTATGTCTGCAATGAATTTCGACAAAAAGTACGGAATCGTTCGCATTCCTGACGCGGTATCACGCCAATATACCACCTTTTCGTAACCAAATGTTGAACCTCCGGCTAGGATAAAAAAAAAAATTCACGGATTGTTCAAAAAAAATAAATTTATAAAAAGATCTTTTATGCGATTGCCTACCTGAAATTCCTGCGAATGTCACACCAAGAGCCAAGAAAACTCCAGCACTCTACGGGAGTTATAACGTGACATGAAAAAGTCAGTTATTCAGCTAAACTTTACTCAATAAAATAAATTTTATAAAAAAACAAACCTGCAGAGAATCTTTTGCCAATAAACAAGCTGGAGCAATTACGGCAGGAGTTATAGCACAAAGTTCTATAGGTGCCTTTCCAATATACGTAAAATTACTGGCAGCAAGAGAAATAAAAGCACCGCATCCTATATGCAATAACTGGTCCAATAAAAATTGGGTTCTATTTCTATAAATTTGTAAACAAGCTCGTTTAAACAACAAAACAAAGGATACAAAAACATTTGGAGTTTCTCGAATTGGATCTTTCATACAAAAAAGGAAAAATCTCCGAAGAAATTCAATGAATTCAAATAATAAGTCTGTGATATAGTAATAAACATCTTGAATAAGATGAATAAATGGAATGTGAAATGATAAGAAGGCTAATTTGATCTTTTGCCCAAATGTAATCGAAGTTTCTTTTCCCATATTTATATACGTATCAGCAGGACGTTTTTTATCAGAATCAAGGAGTGTGGGCTTTCCTCCCCTCCTATATTCTTCCCATGCATCAAATAGCTCATCAACCAATATTGAAGTCTCTCTTTTGGATGGCTTAACTTTGCAAGACGCAACCTCCATCATAAAATCAGCCGGACTAACATCATCGATCAAATGAAAAGTTAATATATAATTATCAAAATGTCAATTTATCCACTAAATTGAATATACCTTTCATCGCGTGGACAGTCAAAACCGAGATTTTGGAAATAATCTAAAGCATTTTCTCGTGGACCAAAGTAAACAATCCTTCCGCCTTTACCAAGGAGCAAGAAATCATCAAATGTATTGAATGCTTGCGGACTTGGACTATGTATCTTCATGTTGATTTAATAAGATGAACGTTTCAATTTCTTATTTAAATTAAAAATTAATTGGCATCATCATTTCAAATGACACTTACAACTGCTGCGACCAAAAGTTTTTGTTGGTGTGCAATATTTTTTAAAAGTTTACAAACTTCTAGTGAAGTTGCAGAATCAAGACCGGAGGTGGGTTCATCCTACAACAACAGGCAAAAAAAAGATTACGAAAATTGCCACTTTTTATATATAATCTTTGATCAATTCACTCTTAATCATTAATATACCAAGAAAAGGATTGAAGGCTCGGCCACAAGTTCCATTCCGATATTTACACGTTTACGTTGTCCACCAGAGATGCCTCTTTGCTCTATGATTATAAAAGATGTTAAAAAAAACTTGGATTTTAAAGAGCATACGATCCGAACATTCATAATTATAAAAACCTTCGTTGCCGATAATCGTATCCATAACGTGACTTAATTCCAAGAATCTTATAGTTTCAATCACTTTTTGTTTTTTTGCAGCACGAACCATGTCAGTTGGTAAACGCATCATTGCGGAATGCTAAAATTTTCATAAAACTTATAACCTTTTCACGTAAAATGGCAAGGCAAATAAGGTAAAACTTACCACCAGAATTTCTCGTACAGTCAATTCTCGAAGCATTACATCTTTTCAAAAAAAAAAAAAAATTGCGTTAATTCCATGATTGAAATCACGTGATATAACAAGAATAAAGTTGACGAACCTTCTTGAGGCACGAATCCTATAAGTTTACGATATTTACTCAAGTTTTCTTTCACACCATTTACTATATATATTAAATTTTAATAAAGAGTGATTTTATCAATTATGTATTCAATATCACTTAAAACATACTTTTTATAACACCACTTGTCTTTTTCGCTTTGCCGGTCAAGAGAGAAACAAATGTAGTTTTTCCGGCACCCGAAGGACCCATGATCGCACATGATCTGCCGTGCGAAAGCTTTAATTGAAAGATGAATTATTTAACGCTACAACCTAGGCCGCATTAAAACGAACTTTTTGCCTTACCTTCCCAGTCACTCCCTAAAAAAGAGGTTAAAATGAAAGCAAAAATTATTATTCTTCGCAATCAAATCATATGATTTAAATATCGTGATTCTCTTACTTTCATGATTGCAATGCCATTAGGTAAAACTAGACCAAGATTTTCAAATTCGATATCAAAGGTTTTAGTTACAGGATCTAATGACTTTTCATGACTCATTTTTTGTTCATTTAACAAATTCTTGTACTTGGAAGTTTTCAACTGATTTGCCTTTTTGTTAACCGCGAATAATATAGCAATTATGATGGCTGCAAAAACGAATAGACCAAGAACATAATATCTATTTGCCCTTTTTGAGCCTTGAAGAATATGGTGGAGCAAATTTTTGATTAGTGCAACTTGAGATTAAATAGTGAGCAAAAATATTTTAAAATATTCACCTTCTGGACAATAAGCTAAATTGTGACATGGTACCGGAACAACAGATCCAACGGTGCAAAATGATCCTGAAATTGAAAGTTTATTAGTCGGATTTGAAAAATAATTTGCTCTTACAAGTATCTAATAATACAAGTAATGAAAAATTAATTAGTACGCACACCTTTAGGGCATATATTTATTTCCGTTGCATCTTCATTACAATAATAACCAGGGCAGCAGTACATAGGTTGTGCTAATGTATAATAGCATGTCGTGCAACAAATTATTTAGTAATAAAAAAAAAAAAATCATTCGCACTTAAATTTTTATTACCAGAATTCTCCGGACATATGAAACCTGAGATTAGATTGAAATTGGTTTTACATATAAGTAGCATAATCTTTAGCAAATTTTGAGAAGGAACTTAATAAAATGAAAAACCTACCTGCAGTGCATTTCACCCTATATTTAATGGATATGAATTATATAAGAAAAGTCAACTTGAAATCAACTTTGTAAATAATCTAAAGGAAACACAACTTACGGTTTTCCCGGACCCAAGCAGAAATATCTGAAAGGATAAATAAATTGAGAAAAGATTAATTGATAAATTTACAAGGAATTCGCATAATGTAACGTATGTTTCAAATATATATATATATACCCAGCTGGACATGACCATGAAATTGTTTGATTTCCAATCCCCTTATTATCTTCCGGTTGAGGAGTTGAAATATAATAACATGCGTTTTTATTACCCTGTCATAAGAAACAACAGGTGTTAAAAGAAATTGTTTGTTTAATTTAACGTCAATTAAAATTTCAGAATAAGGTACTTCGGTCCCGGGAACGGTTTTGTTCGAGAGTAACGCGGTATAATATATCGGATCTAAATAAGGTAATAATTCATCTACTGTTGTTGGAACTTCTGGAACTTCTTGTGCATTAGCAACATGAGAATTATTAATTATTAATAAAATGGATATCAAGTAAAATATGAGCAGATTTATGTAATTGTCGAGCATTCTTTATTATTTATTCTTTATTTTTATTATAATTATTATTTTTTTTTTTTTTAAGAGGAAAAAATTTTTTTAAAAATATTTTCACAAATCATCCTCTCATGGAGTAATGTTGCTGTGAACTAGATGATAAATGGAAAATTAAGAGGATTATAATGAAGAATAAAACACAGCCAACGCTAAGCACGAAGTAAACTTTATTTATATATATAAGCCTCGATCTCCATTATCTAAATGATTTCTTCTAAATAACGTTAGGTATCGATCAAGGCAAATAGACAAAAGTATAAGCCAAAGTAGGACTAATTTAATTCATTAACCTTTATGATTTTCATGGTTGAAACATTTCCGAAAATAATTTCGCGCCATTTGAACCATTTGGCAAGTATCCGTTTTCGATCTGTTTTGATATGAGGCTTGTATGCAAAGCCACACAAGAACTTTTGATTAGATCCCGGAAACTGTTGTCGTGGTACATTAATTAACTAACTTGAAAATAATAAATGGAGGACGTTTAGTACCATCTGCAAAGACAAGCAAGAATTACTGTAAAATGGACATTTTTCAATAGTTGATTCAATGTTGCGTTTCGTTAATAAACCTGGAATAATCATCACATCTTTATAATTTATCATTTTGGAACATTATGCAATAATAATCTTTCAAATTTAAGGAGCGATGCAATTTTCACTATCCGGGATCACCTTATTAAATACTACGCGTTGCTAGCTGAAGATTTTTCGCAAAATTCTTTTTTTTTAAAAATTACCCTCACGTTACATTTAGTCCGACAATGGTTCTTGTTCTTAAACATGTTACAAGTAATACGAGAAAAGCGAATAGATTTTAATAGATAATGAGAAATTGGTTTGAACTTTTATTGATAAAAAGACTTTTGGTCGTACAAATAAGAATAACTAATTATAATACGAAGTTATTAAACAAGTTTCTTTTTCAAATATTATTGGAGGGTCCATTAAATAAATATAACACATCGTATCTTCGTCGCAATCGTAGAATTAATCGTTTGCAGATCCCTTTATCTGCACGTGATGAACGTTTTCACTAAAAAAAAAAGGTAAAAAAAAATCAGTAAACCGAATAGGTAAACTTGATAAATATTTTGGCATTGCTATAACCACCCAAAGGTTGATTTGTCTCCGCAAGGGAAAATAGCAAGCTATAACCAACCAAAG